TTTTTTTTTTTCTTCTTTGTACAGTTGTTTAACAGTAATTTGTACTGCCAGTTGTAATCAGTTGTATTTTACAGCAAAGTTTTTCTTCGTACTAGTTCAAGGAGAAATAACATTGTCCTATTTTATGAAGTAGAGCTGTAACACATATCTGTGACTTCGTTATATGGTATTTAGAATTAGATTTTTTTTTTCTCTGTAATTATGTGGAATTTGTCTGTTATAGTATATTCCCAGTACTGGGGCCTTTTCTTAATGAAAGACATCACGTTAATAATAGCCAAAATTAGCATTTGTGTTATGGGATTGGCTCGGTTTGGGTTTTTTGGGGGGGTGAAGAGGGGGAAGAAATAATCTTGTCACCACGGAGGTTTACTTTCACTTTGTGATAATAAATAGTGCACATCCAAGGATTTGATAGTGCTTTCAAAATATTATAATGGAATAATTTTTCCTTTTGTGAACACGTATGAATGTTTAGCTAGCTTTTTCCAAGTTGACAAATATACTAAGCCTTTTTCCTCTTCACTATATTGCATTTAAATGTGTCCTAAGAATTGGTGATTGAATTTGTGAAATCAGAATGCTCCCGTTCACGAACTATGATGTCATAAGAGGGGGTTTGTAACTGTCATATCAGAAGTGTTGATAATGGTGTATTACTTCATTTCATTTTTAGTCAGGCAGGTGGCAAACAACATGAATATTGTTGGGATCTTTGTGTCATATAACCCAGCTTCTTTTCCTGCAGCCATTCCTGTATTTGTTTCCTGCTCTGCTCTGGTTGCCACACTGTGAAGCAGCTGCGGGTGATTATTTTGCCAAGTTTCTAAATTTTTCAGGTTTTCCTTTTATCTTCATGCAGCCTTGAACAAAGGAAAGGAAGTGTACGATGTTGCATAGCAATCTTCTTTTTTTGTTTCAGGGTGTTTCTTTCTTGTTAATTTGTCCATACAAGGCTGGCACCATTGAGTGCACTTTTATTTCTCTGCATTGTATGGATTTATAAATACTGGAAACCTGAGGGCTTTTTAACTTCCTTAGAACTTTTAGTGTCTCGGGATGATTTAAACAGTCACGCAAGTGGTGCCATAGATGGTCTTTGCAGCTACAGATCCACTAAAATGAGATCTTTTGATTATTCCTTCAAAGAAACCATATAAAGATATGTGTAGTTGTGACCTCCCTCTTTAAAGTGCCTTGTGTCTGTTTATTCAACAAAGAGACAAATTCTTATCTATGCAGAAAAATACTCATTCCTTTCTAAAGATGTTCGTGGAGCGGTTTGATGGGGAAGGTGGTTTCTTAGGAGCAAAACCAAAGTTGGATAAATCCATTTATCTAGATGAATTTACTCTGGCTACTAGGAGGAGCAAGAGCCATGTACTGACTGATCCGTTTGTCCTCTGGAGACTCGGAAGTTGACTTTGGTGTTCCCACTGAGGAAGTAAAGCTTGCTCATGGTTTCTGTTTCATTTTCTTAGAACGTGCTAGAAGAATTCTAAAAATTTGTGTGAAACAACCATCACAATTCAAGTTTGCATAAATATAAGAGTTTTCCTGATAACGTTGCAGATACGCCCTCTCAGTTGATCTCTAGCCTACTCAATGGTGTAGCTGAATTGTTCTTACAGAGTTAACTATTGTCACTTAGAGGGAAAGCTCTGTTTTGCAGCTCTGGTGTCCTACCCCTTGCCTTGTGCTGGTGTTAGTAAGATGGCTTAGCAGTATTTTGAAAATGTCTTCTAAGGCCAAGGGAAAATCTGCCTTGCTGAGAACCGATCTGAGCTGTGTGAAAGACTTGGGCACAGCTTCTTGTACCCCTACTATGTAGAGTGCTTCAGATACTTGTGATACATCTTCTAATGAGGATCTACTTATAGGATCATAGAATGACTTGGGTTGGGAGGGACCTTTTAACTTGGGCTAGGGGACCTTTAAAAGGGGCTGGGGAAGTGTTGAGGGTCCCTGGATACTAAGCTGTTTTAAGGTCATGTGAACATCATCGCCATAGAAAAATCCTGTTATATTTCTTCGTAAAGTCAAGTTCCCTTTAAATACCTGTAGCTGTCTAATTTAGGACATAAACTATCTTTACTTCCTCTCCAATAGTTTTTGTGAGCCACATGTTGTGGTAGAAGTTTCTGTGTTCTCTAGACAGTGACTGAATTGCAGAAGACAAAATATTAATTTAAGAAAATGTCGTAGTGTGAATATTCTCTTCAGCAGCTGCAGTAGGTATTGCATGTCAACAGAAAACGGGAAGCCTATCTGCAAGTTAATCTGTGACAGTAACATTAGGGCCAACAGCAAGAATTGTGTAATGATATGTACAGTTGCAGAGATGAGACCAAAAAGCAGGCAGAGTGAGCAAGGCACAAACCCCAAGATCCTGCATTCAAAAATCTGCGGATGGGATTAGGTTCAGCTGATGAGCCTGAATATTGAAAACTTGATTCATACACACATACTAATTTTAAGAAACATGCTTTGGACTTGTGCACTTTGCTTTCTGATTCCAGGGATCAAATTCTTTTGCTTGAGAGTTGACTGACTCCAAGAGGTATTCATAGTGGTAGGACTAGAATTAGTGGTGTAGTAGCTTTAACTGTCAACAGAATTCCAGTCCTTCCAGTGCATTTTGCTGAAGCAACTTGCCGCGTGAATGAAAAATTCTGCAGCAGTTCTTTGATGTAGAGGCAAATATGTGTCTCAATTTAGTATCTTCAGAATATGGCTTCATAGCTGCAGTTTGAAATACAGAATTTAAATGTTTTTATTAAATCATTTTAATGCCACATGTACATATGACAGATTTAACATAGATGTTACCTCTTTTTGCAGCAGCTTTGCTTTGGTTTTATTAATTAAAAATTTTTGTCTGAAAACAGTCATAAAAAAAGCTATTCTGGACTGGCAAGTAGGTAAAAGTGAGCGTGGTAGACCTCAAGCTTGGGATACAAACCAAGATCCACTCACCTGGTCTCATACATGGCTTTGTGTCTGAGTACAGCAAGGTCTGTCTTACTATTGCTTCCTATTTAAAAAAAAAAAAAATTAAACTAGCGTAATGAGGTAAAAATGGTAAATTACAATGCAGATTAAATCACAAATTCAGATTCTCCACAGTTTAGGGGTTTTTTTAAGCTATTTCTTCACATTTCCTCATTTTATTGTTGACATTTCTCATTTTTTTAATGTAAGTGTACATGAAGTAAATCATAAATAAGGGCAAGGCTACTCATATAGTGTTTGAACTTAAATATTACAGGATGGATTGATCTTTTTTTTTCCCCTTAAGTATTAAGGTCTTTGATTACTGTAATATGTTGAAATCAAGCAGTTCATAATTGCATCCAGATTTGAAACAGTCAAACAATGAGTTGGTGAAAGTCATTGATTAACCAACTGGAATTAGAATTCAGTGGAAGTCTGTAGAGCTTTTGAGAACAGTGAAGTCTTCTGGTGATGCAAAGGACCTTCCCTCCTATTACATTTATTCAGCAACTTTATTTTGATGGCTAGTATGTTTAAAATCAAGAAATTCAAAAATTTAGGATACAGTTTTTATATGTTCATTTACTGATTCATTCCCAAAGTGTAAATTGGCTTATGGGGTAAGAATATAATACATTAAAGATCATGACCATTATGGTAAATAGAAGGTATCAGTTCAGTTTATTAAAAAATATATTCTACACTTTATTCTTCAGTTTAGCAAAACATAGCAAGGCAGCTGGTAGAAAGAAATGTGAATTCTTTAGAAGAAAACAATTACAGAATGAGAATAAAATCATTGCAGATTGGAAAGAATAAAATTATTCCTTTTGCATTTCATTGATTTTTTTAAATTAAATCGCCATGTATGTTAGAGGTTTATTTTATGTTTGGGCAGTTGAATGTTTCTGGAGTCCACAAATAAACCAGAGAAAACTTCTATTGTTAATTTGCAGTCAGTTTGTGTTAGAATCCGTGCATTTCCAAATCCATTCTGTCTTAAATATTACATTTCTTCTTTGAAAAGTCATGCTAACCATGTTACTGAGAGCTTTTGGAGACTCCTTACCTTGCAGACTAACAAGAAACGTTATTTCTTAGAAAGTGTACAGAAAATATGTTATTTGCTGTAGTTAAATACAGAATTTTGAAAACCTTGTATTTTTTCTTCCCAGGCTGTTCGCTGCTATGAATCGCTAATTTTGAAAGCTGAAGGAAAGGTCGAGTCTGATTTCTTTTGTCAGTTAGGTCACTTCAACCTCTTATTGGAAGATTATCCAAAAGGTAAGATTTTTTTAGTACTTATGATAGATGTCATTGGGGAGTTGTCATTTGATATAAGTGACCCAACAGAAAGAAAAACATTTGGATAACTCATTGTTTTCTCAGTTTGTACTGTATTTCAAAGCCCATAACAGAATAAGGCTGATGACGTTTATGGAAACAGTTGCATTCTATCTCCCTGTTTATCTTTGGGTTTTTATTTTTTTATTTATTTAATTGACAAAAAAAACCTAAACCACTATTGGTTCAGATGTGAAAATGAAGTTTATTTTATACAGTAGTACCACACTGCCTACTTCCTTTTCATTATTGCATGACTGTACAAGCGGGTGAACCCATGCCTCTGAAGGTTTCCTGTGTAGGGTGGGAGATACAGGTGCCTAGGGCAAGAGCCTTAGTGCTTTCATGTGTGCCCACAATCTCAACAGATAAGGCCAGTCTGAAAGCATTGATTCGAAAGCAAAAATCTGCACTTGAAGTGTTTCAGGCAATATGCTGGCGTAGAAATTACTGAAGAATAGTCTGATCCCATGTTTTATTTTGTTTTCTTTAAAAAAAATTCAACCACCCACCCTACAGAAAGCTTACACTGCTCTTTCTGATCATCTTGGTATGATGCAAGTGCAGTATGGCTTATTGGTTGTATTTTACTTGGCAAAGACAGTGAAAGATTGTACTGGACTGTATCAACTCTGCTGTTGAGTTGTTAACAGTTAAGAGTGACAGGACCAGGCGTTGCTATGGCTCAGAGGTGAGACTGATGGAGTCTGCTGTGGACCGTGTATTTAGTTTTAAGAAAAAGTATAAAAAAAATACAAATGATGGTTTGAAATATCACTTCCAGAACTTTGTGTGTAGAAATATCTAGGTATGAAAAACATGAATTAAAATAATTAGTTATTTTTTAGATGCCTGTTTAAAATCACATCACAATCATGAGAATTCTCAAGAAGTAAAAAAAAAAAAAAATCTATTAGTATTGAAGAATTAAAAAAAAAAAGTGTATCTGTATTTTCAGAGAAATGGAGTAGTAATGAAAATAATACTGGAGGAATTTTAATGGGTGGAAAAACAGAAGTTAAATGAGTTGGGTTTTTTTTTGTTTTCTTTTTTTTTTTTTTTGTAAGGAACCATGTGTTCCTTTTGACAACATTTGTTGAACACCAATTCTAAAGACAATAAAAGTATTATCCACAATGAAAAAATTTGTCTGTTCTGTAATTGATTTACTGCTGTTACTTGAAAGAGGTAGAATGCTGGTGTGTTGTGTTGAATCTAAAGTAAAAACAAACTCTATTCTATAAATGCTATGACTTTAATTATCATACATTCTAGTTGTAATTATAGTTAAATTTTAAATGCTTGGGAACAGAAAAAGCAGTTCAGAAATGTTTTGATTTCCCTAATGTATATTTTATCCAACTTTTAAGTCCTGACGTCCCAGAAGTATAAATACTGAAACAGGATGATCTTCAGAACTGAATCTGTCTGGTCTGAAGTTAGTCTTGGACAAAGTTATGGAGAAGTTGATGTGTTTATTAAATTGGATGTAAATTAATAAAATACCACAAGATATTAGCATGACTAATGCTGAAGAACTTTTTTCCCTTGCAAATCCATTATTTATTTAATAAGTATGTTTAATAAATGTGTGCACCTTTGTATGTAACGCAGAAAGATGTGTCTTTACTGAAGGCAAATGTGATGGTGTTCTTTGTTTAAAAGCATTTGCAATATAGTTTGTGCCAAGTGGAGCAAAGTTGTTAGTGGACTGCAGAAGCCCAGTCAGTGATGATGATGAAGCAAGGCTTGGTTGATACAGATCTCTTAGGTTCCATGTGTATAGTTTTGATCTGTCCCATTTTTTTACAAATACGTTGACAAACATGGATCATTCAGTTGGGTGTTTTAGTTGTGTGTTAGCATTTTCATGTAGTTAATACCTTCTGACATACATCTTCAGTACTAAAAAAGACTGCAGGTCATTTCTTTGTAAGAATTAGAATTCATCCACCAGGAAAGAGGGACCCTGGGGGAGATTCATGGCAGATTACTGCGTGTTGCTATCGGAAGCGCTGGCAAATGCTTCTCTTGCTGCATGTAGACAAGGAATGTCAGGGGCCAGCTACCTTTCAGTGTGGAATAAATTGGTGGCTGATACCTTGCTGAAGTCTAAATATGTCTAGCATATATATTTATATTTTTTTAATGAAACCTGTTAAATTTTGCAGTAAATTCTCTTGAAGTGAATTCTGTTTTCTTTCACTTGTAGCTACTGAGCTCCAGATTTAATGTGGGTTTTTTTTTAATAAAAAAAGTACTTGTCTCCAACAAACATTTTGACTTAAGTCAGAAATTACTGGATGAGGCTTGTTCTCTTGTATCTGAAGTTAGACAAAGAGAATTGCAATGTTTTTTTCCTAGCCTTTAAAATAAGGGAAGCTGGTCTGCAGCTTGTAGTTTTCCCCAAATGCAGTGTGTTTCAGTTGCTGTTCTTAGCTAAAGGGTTTTCTCTGCAGCTATGAAATTGAGTTGTCTTGTTAATTGCACTCTGTTCCTCTTAGGAGAAGGTCCTAAGGAAGTTATCAACTGTTTTGAGGATTTTGAATATTGCACTCAG